AGCCTTGCCTCCGATCCCTTCGCAAGACTCCCAACCTTACCTCAGCTGAATCTCCTTCCCCAAAACTCGGTCAACCTCCGACCCAATCCCTGTTGCTGTCGACCTCCGAAGTTATTGGCTATCTAAACATATGGGGATTTGGATTGCAGTTTTTTGAATCCTTTCAAGAATGCTGGAGGTGGATGGAGAAGTATAGTAAAAATCATGGTTTCCTCATTAATATTTATTGTAATGTTGTCTATCTAACTTGGAGATCCAGGAGCAAATTAGTACATGACGGAAAGGAAGATAGTTCTATGCTTATAGCTTCTAATGTCGTAAGTTGTGCTTCCATTTGTTATATGAAGGATGAAAGATTGGGACACTGGGGTACTAATCAGTCTTTGAGACTGTCAGATCGTTGGTATCCTCCTCCTCCCAATTGGATCAAGATCAATGTAGATGCTTTTTTGTTACAATCATATAAGGTTGGTATTGGAGGACTAGTTCGGGACAGCAAAGGAAGATTTTTATTGGGATATGGTAAATCATGCATTCATTGGGATATATCTAATTTAGAATTCATGGAGGTGGAAGTTATATAGGAAGTCATGAAAGATTGGATGCTTGATTATCAAGGTATCATTGTTGAAGATAACAACTACAATGTTATCAAGATTTTAAAGGAATTGGGAGGGAAATGGGAGAGATGAACTATTATTTGTCAAGGATCACAAATTTATTTTTTTCAATTGGGAGAATAGATCTTTGTGCTAACTATGCTATTCTTAGGGATTTCTTTTGGGAAGATTTAACTTCAAATAATGTTCCTCCTTTGTTTGTTAAACTTGTAAAGGAGGAATCTATTGTCTTTAGTTTGTAATTAGGTTTTCTTTTTAATAAGAGCATCAGCAATTTGATTGCTTTCTTCAAAAAAAACGACAAGGTAACGTCGTCAAAGGAGTGAAGTCGACTAGCAATGAAGGAGGTGAAGAAGCGCGTGAAAGAGAGAGAGTTATCTTCACAGCAAGCGAGTTTCCGTCACTAGTTGCGATTAAAATGTCGCAACTTCTACTCTGACCGGATGAGGGAACGTCATTGAAGGAGCGTCTAGGGCTTAGGGTAGAGGAGGTTCGGGGTTAGACAAGCGAGGCCGATGGGAGGATAGGGAGGAGTCGTCGGATGTGAAGGTCGACTGGAGCTCGGGTATTTGAGGGCTAGGGCAAAGTATTGCGAGAGGAAGGAAAAGGAGCTTGCGGCAGAGGAAGAAGTATAATACCCAAAATTTTGGTACAAAAAGGTAAACATACAAATTTCCCCTATATTCTCTCACATATAGAAAGTATCAAAAATATTTTCATCAAATTTGATATTGAATTTCGAGTAATTTTGGTATCAATATATCTTAAATGTCTATGAATAGGTATCTTTTAAATAACTGTTTAGTATCTTATAATAATATTATATATTACGGTAAAGTACTAGTAGACCTATAAGTCCCCTTCATTACTTCATTTGCCCATCACCAGGAATTGAAGCAGCGGGCAAGCAAGCTGAGTAATAGTAAAGGATTCGACTGCTGGAAGTTGGAGAAACCAAATGCTGAATCTACGATTAGTGTTGGAGAAGCTGCAGTTCAAGAATGCATAAATTGTGGATTTCTGACACTCTTTTTGAATGCTGAATGTGGAAATCAGTAAGGATAATGGAGGAAAAGCTAAATGCATGTAAGGGTATTGTTGTTTGCTGAAAGTAAGTAATAGTTACTGCTGCGATTTGCTGAAATAAAGGGGTTGTTGAAATTGGTTTGCTAAATGTATTACAGAAAGAGAAGTAAAGGTGTTGTGTTGAATGAGGAAGTTTAGTGAAGGTTGTTTACAAAAGGAAAAGAAGAAAGAATCGGGATACCGAGGTGCGATACCCAAACAAGGTTATAAGAATTAATAAATGTTTTATTATCGCACTCCATCTTCATTATGTTTATGATCACATGTATTCTACTTTATTTTGGTTATTTGAATGAATATGGTTGTTTATGTATGAATTTATTTATGTAAAGGATAATCTTTAGCAATGTAAATGATTTAGTAAGCATAGAAAGGTAAATATTCATAAAGCGCACGTAAAGGGCACCTAAAGCTCAAGTAAAGCGCAAATAAAGGGCACGTAAAGGGCACCTAAAGCGCACGTAAAGGGCACCTAAAGCGCACCTAAAGGGCACCTAAAGCGCACCTAAAGGGAAACTAAAGGGCAGTTAAAGGGCACCTAAAGGGAAGCTAAAGGGTAACTGAAGAGCAGCTAAAGTGCAACTATATCATCAAAAGCATATGTCATTAGCTCTAAAAAGGATGACTATATGAAAAGTGAAATAAGTTATATATGGGGGATAGGCCCGCACAAGTAAAGGTAAAAGACCTGATGAGGTAAGCCTACACTCTTAATTCAAGAAGTTGAGAAATTTGACTCAACCCTAAATGAGAGAACAACTTCCATTCTAAAAGTTGGGAAATTAGACCCAACCATGAATAGGAAAGTTGAATGGTGCAAAAGCTTATAGCCATTCTATAACTTATTTAAAGATGTGGAATAGTTTTTGTAAGATAAATAATACTGTTAGGCACTTTCAGGCTCAATATGACATTTCAATATGTGTTTTAATTATGTTAGCATAGTTATGGTATTTCTTAATGGTTCATTATTATTTCTTATAACTTGCTTGCGTATTTCATTGAGCCAAGCTCATTAGCAGTGGTTGTACTGTAGGAAAGGGGGAAGGAGCCCTTGGGACAATAAAAAGAGATGACCGTCCTTTTGATGTAAGTATGTTTTGGGGTGCAAGAGATCTAAAGCGAGATCTGAATGCTAGATGTAAAGACTTTTGAGCATGTGAATGAATTTTAAAAGTTTTAGTAGAGCTCTGTATTTGTTTTAATTATATTGAGGTTCAATAAGGTATATTACATGCTTCCTGTTGTTAAGTGTGGAGTTTGATACGTTGAAATCTTTCTCTGTTATACTCCAGTTCGTGGTAGAGGGTGAGTCAAACTGGGGTGTGACAAGAAGAATAAGGGTCGGGGTTTGCGAATGGAAGAAGGGAAGTCTTCGTGCATCTGGATTTTAATGACAAGAGCGGGAGCGGGGCATAACACGCGTGATATAATGTTTCTTCGGCGTCGTTGCAGAGAGCAGGTACTGTAGCTATGACGGGATGGACTTCGACAGGTTGTGGCAGAGGTATTTTAAATTCTTTTGTTTCCTTTGGACATTACATGGAGGTCAACATTGTTGTAGATATTGAAAGGTCCACTGAATTAGGGTTATCTTCAACTTCCCAAGTATATTAAAAGAAAGAAACAAATTGGGATTGGGACTTCAAAAAAAATTAAACGTAATCTTAATATAATGAATTATTTTTTATTTTATTAATTTATTAAGAAAAAAAATATTATAGATGAAGAAAATTTGGAAGATAACTTTGATATAAATTATGATGATTCTTCTAAAGGCAGCCAAAGTGATGATTAGATTGTCTTGGGACTTGATCCTAATGACGTGTTTAAATTTTAAGGGAGTATTTATTTTGAATCTTATATTCTAGTAATATTTATCTTCAAATAAATCAATATGTTCATAATTTACTTAACATTTTATCATTTTTTGAATTATTTATAATTTTTAAGTACTTTATTTTTTTCGTTATAAGGCTTACGCCTTGATCCACCTCGAGGCTTACGCCTTGCCTCGCTTAGGCAAAACACCTTGATTACCAATTTCGCCTTTTAAAACATTGATTGATTATACTCATGATGATTTGAAGATTTATCACATAAAAACTAAAGATTATAATGCCAAGAATACCAAAACTTTTTAAGTAATTTGAAAACTTGGTGTCTAATTTATATGTAATAAGAATATTCAAGAAGAAAACAAAAATACAATGTTATTTGCCACATAATCATGTACCCAAATGACATGCAATAAATTAGCAATAAACCCACAGCTGCACAATCACTCGCAAGAATTCATTACAACAGCAATAACAACAACAAGAAGCCTTTATCCCACTACGTGGGGTCGGCTACATGAATCCTTTTTCCCCATTGTGTATGGTTAAGAGTCAAATTCTCATTTAGATCTAATAAAGAAAGGTAATTTCTAATATTTTCTAACAAAATCTTTTTAGTTCAACCTCTACCTTTCTTAACATAGGTTAAATCTCCTAAACGGGTCATCGGAAGGCCGCCGTTTTATGTCACCAAACCATCTAAGGCAACTCTCTCTAATCTTATCTGCCACTGGAGCTACTCCAACCTTTTCACGTATATGATCATTTTGTATCCTATCTCTAAGAGTAAAGCCACTCATCCACCTGAGCATCCTCATTTGTGCAACACTCGCAAGAATTCATTGCTTAATATTATTACTCTAATGCTTCAAATTACCCTAGCATATCCATTATGAAATAAAGAACTAAGTCAAGACTATGATTGCACTATATCCTTGAAATGGACCAATAGCATCATGCTAGTTTCCATACAGACGAGTGCCAGGAGTCTAGAAATAGCATGGAACCTTAAATGCACAAGCGACATCTGTGATAATTAATTCATAGGAACTCCTCATTTTTTTGGGAGGAAATCACACAATCATACAGCGAAAACGCATCATTCCTGGCTGTATAGCATATAGAAAAGAAGCATCTTAAACATCGCATGCAGTCACAATACTAAAGAATTTTTTGGGCACTAAGCAAGAGTTAAATGCGTAGCTTTTGAGATCAATCACATGGTAAACGTAATTTCAAGGATAAAAGAAAAAATAATAATTTGGATTATTAAACAGAAAACAGAATGCACAATTCCAATTGAAGAAAAAGCGGAGAATAAAACTAAGAAAAAAAAATAGTTTAAAATTCATTTATCTGGAAAACAGAAGTAGAACAAATGAGCGTTACAAATAGAGTTGACAAGGGAAATGGCTCAGATTAAAGACTGTCTAGTGAACTGTCAGATTTTCATTACCTCTTCAAACCTCTCAGCTTCATTTGTTGACTCCACTTCAGCCACCAAAGCAGGTGGTGGAGGGCCAATAAACAAATCATTGTCAACTTCCAAACTTGCATCTCTGTAAAAATGTAATTTCTTAACCTCAAAATAAAAATAAAAAAGGTTCTACTAGATAATCAAAACATCCAAAGAAACATGTAGTCAAGAGACTCAAGACCCATAGAGAATCCTATAAAGTTCAGGAAGAGAGAATATATCATACAAGCTATTAACAGACTTCAACAGAAACATTCCAATGAATAAGAATAAATAGATAAACTAAATACCTAAGTTCAGCCTCTGCTCTTGTTAGCTCAGCTGCCGCAGCCAGTAACTCATGAGAAGGCATTTCAGGTCCAATAATCCTACAATCATTCGATCTCTTCAAGAACACCATAGAATTTAAATAAATCAAAGCATACTGTTTGAAGATTTTTACAAAAAGAAAACTGGCAAATGAGGCCTGCAAAGTATATATAAAATTAATCCCTTTCCATGCAAGAAGTGAATTAGGAAGCACTAAAGTGAGGTAGGCATTTACTTGTTATAAGATGAATTGATGTGAAACCAGGAATTGTTTCTTAGAAATTAATAGAATTTTGTTAGAGCAATGATATGACAATTTAATGCTTCTCAAATTAGACAAATCAATAAAGATCTTAGAAGTTAACAATGCCTAGGCAAGTCGTTACAACTAAGTTTGCAAGATCTATAAAATAACAACCTCAATCAAAAGTAATGAAAATGATTAGCAAACTAGAATCCGGTGGTTAACAAAGCGATCGTCTCACCTTGAGGCTCAAAATCACTCTTCTACGTCTAGGATTGTCGGAGGAAGAAGAACCACACAAGAAACGAGATCACTCCAAGGTAGACGGTGTCGGTGATCCGTAGAGATGGAGAGGGAGGCGTAGGATGTGGAGGTGGCAAGGAATGATGACCGTTGATGATCCACTCGTAGTCTGCAAATTGCCGTCGATGACGTGCACAAGGGTGGGGAGGATTCGATCCAAGTAACCTCCAACTGTGTCGTCGTCGTGGTCAAACCCCACGTCGAAGAAGGGGGATCGAAGAATGTGAATGTTCCCGTAGACGTCAAACACAAGTCCGCCTTCAAGCTCAGGATTCGCCATGCATCATTGCCGGAAAAGAATGAGCACCAAAGGGAGGACGAGAATGTGTGGTGGTGGCAAGAGAGGAGCCGGGATGGGGCCGGCGTGAAGGCTTGAAGGGGGAGGTTAGGTTGAGAGATCAACAAAAGAGAATTTCAGGAATCCTGAAATTTTCTCAGATTTTTTGAGAGAGGGAAGGGGCTTAATTGTGGAATTCAATTTGAATTTCAATAATGAGGGGGGCGGCAATGAGGAGAGAGAGTTGGGGCTGATTTTGTGGGGAATTAGAATTAATTAGGGAGAGAGAAAGAGCCCATGAAGGGGCCGACCACATGAATAGGAGAGAGGAGCTTGAGTTTCAATTGAGTGGGGACCACAATCTTAATTTCAGTTTTAACAAAAATCTGAAATTAAATTTCAGTTTTCTAAAGAGGAGGAGATTCCTAATATGAAGACAATCAATGGGATTAATTTGAATTTCAAATTCGAAATTGAAATTCAATTAAATTGATTGCATAAATTAGGGAGTCAAATTACGAAACATTTAATGGCTCATGAAACTTTGGAATTTCAAATTTGAAATTCAAAGGAAGGGGGCCGGCAACTAGAGGAGGGGGCAGGGGGGGCGGCCACGGTGTGGGGGTTGGCTGGCCGGTGGGAGGTGGCAGCCTGGTGACCGGTGGTCTGGGCGGGTTGGGAGGTTTTGAAATTCAAAGAGGGGGGAGAAGGAAGCCGGCGGCCAAGTCAAGGAGCTGAGCTCGGGACGGGGTAGGGGGGGCCGGCCGGTGGTAGCTGACAGGGGGCCGGCGGTCTAGCCGGTCCAGTAGGGACGGCGGCAAGACAGTAGGGGAGGAAGAAGGGGTCGGCGGGATGGGGAAGAAAGAGGAAGGGCTTCGAGGAAATTGAAATTGCCGGATTTACTAACCTTGCACCACACCACCGGTAGAACTCACAAAGAGATCTACGACGATCTCCTCTTCTAGAACTCACAAAGAGATCTTAGAGGATTCATGAACTCACAAAGAGCAACTTTTTTTTTCATTTATCAAAACTAACTTCAAATACAATGATAAAGCCTATATATAGACCAACCGAAAATAAAAGTCATAAAGACGACATTGCCCTTGGGCTACAATAAACACAAACTCCCTCATAGGGGTACAAATGGAAAACAGGAAATATAAATGACATGGATAAAATAAAACATCAAAAATAAAGACTCTGAATCATGACCGTCGCTCAACAACCCCTCCGATGGTACGTGTGCCGGAATCTTCTATGGATGTCCTCATCATGAATCTTATCAGATAGTTAAATCACATAAAGCCCTAACAAATGCCAAGAAGAAAGACATTATTTATCAGAAGCATCAACCTAAAATTTTACAGTTGACATCGATTGAATCCCTTCTATGACATAGTATTCAGGGGGTCCTTTTGTAATTAATTTTCATTAATGGAATAGTTTTCTTTTCCTTTTTTTACTAAGGGTAGTTTGATAATTAAGAGTGTATGGGTGTTAAGAAAAGAGGCTAGTCTATTCATAACCATCCATCTAGAGAGGAGAAAAGTTTTGGAGTTTAGTTTGAATTACCAATTCTTGTAGAGGCGAGGAGAGAGATCATAGTGGTGTATAGGACTCCACCACAATCAATATCCAGAACCCTAAGGCTTCCTCCCTTGGCCTCCCTAGGCATAGATTCTGACTTCAGCGGCTGAAAAGGGTTGGCTGGTGGCTATCCCTGCTGTCATAGATGACCACAAACTCCTATACAGAATCAATAATACCTTTATGGTAGGAAAAATGAATTCTGCAATCAACAACAAAGAGGAGCTCCACTCAGCTTCAACAGGTGGCAGGTTTTCTTGCAGGAAAACAAAAAGAGATTCTTAAAATCTTATTGGCATTGGATGATGAAATTCGGAACATCATCGTCCACTTAAGCAAGCTAGAAACTCGGTTTCTGTGTCAGGTTGCTGACCCTCTAAATCTTGAACAGTTTTGAAAACATCTTGACTCCAGGAGACTTCGCCACAGGTTCCCTGTTTTTCAGTCATTAATTAAATGGACTTTCGTATTCCTTGAGCAATTAAACTACCTAATTCATATTATAGATGGTCACAGGGCTACTGGAAAAACTACTATCCAGCCAAATCTTGAAAGAGCGGCTGTAAAGTTCAGCCAAAATTGCTTTGATAAATCTCTTGGAAGAAGAATACCAACAATTAAATATTTCCTAATATCAAGTTCTCTTTTGTCCTAGTTTTTATTAACTGGTTGGCTTGCTACTGAGCATTTAACAATCCCCTTTTTCCTCTTTACTTTTAGGACTCAAAGAATTTTTGCCAGTAGCTATCAGATTCTAATAAGCAGAGGGATGGAAGACAGCAGTCATCCCCAGCCATGCCAAGAACAATTGCATATCTGGCTGGGATGGGCTTTACCAGGTTTTTTTGGAGATTGGCAACAACCGTCTGAGCAGTCACAGATCCCATTCGTTTTACCTGGCAAAATTCATCAGCCCGCATTAGAAATTGGTAGGACAGCCATCTCGGTTGTGATATAGTCTTCCTAATCTTGTAATCCTAATTTCTCTAAATTTGTTTGGGTTGGCGGTTAATGTCCAACTCTTGTGTGTCTAATCTTATGAAGATATAGTCGTTATTTCTTTCTTTCTTTTGCACATCTATCGTCATCGGTCATATCAGAGCCCTTGGTTTAAGATGTTATCAAGAAGAAACCAATCCCATCAAATCCAAGAGATAAAAATGGAAGCCTGCAATCGGACAGTGACTAGTGGCATGTAAGCAGCAGGAACGTGCCTTGCATTAATCCATTTGGATGACATTTGAGACAAACGTAAGCTAGAAAATCACTTTCATCAAGCATTGCAAAAATCATTAAAAGAAGAAGAATCTGATGCGCCCTTGTGGGGCCCAAGGGATCTATTATTCATTATGCAAGAAAGAGAAATTAAGGGGGAACTAATTAGAAAATATTTATTTACGGAAAGATGACTAATTAGATTGGGAGGGAATTAGGAAAGGTTTATTTAGGGAAAGATGGCTGATTTGATTGAGACGGAACTAGGAAAGATTTATTTAGCTAATTCGAATTTAGATTTGGGAGGAAAGTAAGAAGTTTATATCAGGGTTAATTGAGTGGTTTATTTTCATTATGTAATTGTGTTTGCTGTAGTTTTTTCTTTGCAGTTATTCCTAGCGGCACCTAGGATTTGTGGGAGAGCCGATTTAGCTCTCGAATAGGTGATTAATTGTATCTTCCATTATTTGATGAAGAGATAATAAAAAAACAGCCCTAATATTTGGTTCCTGGATTTTTTTTCTTATCCACTTGTTGCTCTACTTCCAAGACACATCAAATCGGTATTAGAGTGAGGTTTTGGAGAGATGGCAGCAAAGAAGGTGGATGCGTTGGAAGGCGTAGTGGAGCAAATCAAATCCGGGATAGAGAAGTTCTCAACCATCAAAGAAAAGTTTTCAGCCATGGAGAATGAGATAGAGGAGATGATGAGGAAGCTTATGAAGATGCAATACAAAACTCCACTGTCGGTTCCGATTGCTAACCTTAGCCAAGATTTGACCAGGATTCCCTTTACCGAATCTAAGGGAAAGGAGATCGAACGAAAGGAGTTCAACGAGGAGAGTTTCTTTCATTAAGAGAAAACTTGTCAATGGCGCAAAATAATGCGTCATGAATTGCACCATGGAGCACAGCACGGTGCGGCACACCTACGGCGCTATCTCTATGGCGCGACGCAAAATGTACAAAATGGCAAGCACTATTTGTGTCATGTGCGCATAATGGCGCATGACGCAAATAGCGTGCGCAATTTTATTTGAGATTTTTAATATAATTATCAAAAACTTTTGATATTTATCTATTTTTTATTTCTGAGATATTGTAACAAGTAATTTTAAAATTATTTGTAATGGTTAAATTAGTCTAGTTAGGTTTTCTTAAAATAGTTTAATTAGTTCTGATAATTAATTTCTAAGATATTTGCTGCCCTTACCCTCACGAACAAATGAAGCCTGTATCCCGAACTCTTCGACGCACGTGAAGGAAGCGAGTGCTCGAGCCCTTCATCTGATTCTGCCGCCCTCTACTTTGTATGATTCTGCTCCATCGTCAGTCTCCTTCACTTGAGTATTCCTCTCCTTAGTCCATTTACTTAACGTGAGTCTCTGTCGTTGTTAGATCCTTCATCGATTTGTTGTTTGTCGCAGCTA